TCTCTCTCTCTCTCTCTCTCTCTCTCTCTCTCCTCTCTCTCTCTCTCTCTCTCATAGTCTGTTGATGCAGTGAAGTCAGGTAGCGAGAGGGTGAGATGGAGATGGTGGACTGAGAAGAGGAAGAAACAGAAGTCTCTCTCTCTCTCTCTCTCTCTCTCATATGCCAAGTACTAACTTGTGAAGACTGCAGGTACCTCGAAGACGAAGCTGGGGGTGCCTCGAAGACGAAGCTGGAGCAATGGCGCTGCAGGTCAGTCCCTCTAGCCTCCGCCCAATCTCTCTCTCTATAGTACTACTCTAGCTACTATGGCGCCCAACGCTGAAGACTACAGCTAACGCTACTACTACTCCTGCAACGCTCCTCCATAGTGCTGCTGCCGAATCCTGAAGACTACCTCCTGCCTCCTGAACTGCACGTGAAGTGCCTGGGAAGTACCTAGGAACTACGTGCCTGCCTGTAGGGCGGGCCAGTCTTATATAGTGCTGGCCCGTCCAGGAGGCTGCTCTTGCCAATGCCGAAACGTGCCAGACCCTGGCGTTGAAGCTCAACCAGGGGTTGTCTTGAAAACAGGCCCGAAATGGCCTGTGCTAAAACCCTGGTTTGTTGCTTGAGTTTCAGGGCAGATCGAACTGATGAGGACCTGAAAATGACCCTCTGTTTCAGGCTGAAAAGACTCAGGGCCGGAAAGACCCTGATTTAGGCTGAAACGACATAGGGCCTGTAGACCCTTGTTTTCAGGCTTTCAGGCTGAAAACGACACAGGGCTTGTAGGCCCTTGTTTTCAGGCTTTTTGGCTGAAAACAACACAGGGCCTGCAGGCCCTTGTTTTCAGGCTTTCAGGCTGAAAACAACACAGGCTTGAAAATGGCCCGTGCAGCCCGTTGCAGGCGCAACATGTAACAGGGAATCTCTTATCAGATGCGATTGGCGTCGGGTAGTTTAGGATGTCTGATGGGTACCGACTGATGAGGGCGAACCCTGGCGTGATTGGCGTTGGGTAGTGCTGGTTCACCTCCTTGAGGACGGAGACTGGAATTCTTGTGGGGGCAAAGAATTTCAGGGTGAGGATGGTGCTCGGTCCCTGCTGAGATGAGGTATTCTGGAGTTCTTAACGAGGACGGAGTTGGGGAGGACGGATGCGATTTGGATGGAGGAAGTTGGTGGTGGATGCAATTGGCGCCGAGTATCTCGGCAGGTACCAGCCACTGGCCGCTAACTCCACCTGGATCAGCCTGAGGTTCTTCCCTTCGACGGTGGAGGCAGAATTGTTCTGCTTGTCTTGTCTACTTTTCTGTTTCAGGGGTTACATGTTTGTCTAAGTGGACTTATCCTCCTTCTTGGGGAATATTGCTGGAGTAATTTTTCGATAGTATCCATTTCATTACCATCAAAGGACGTTCCCTGCTAAGTTAATCCCCTGGTTTCCAAGGTAATCAATGCTGGCAGGGGGAGGTCCTCTGAAACTTTCTAAAAAAAGATCCTTTTTGAAGCGTAAATGTTCTTAGGGGACGCTGAACCCGGTTTCCAGTACGTGCTGCTCCCCATGAATAGATTGGAGCTTTTGTCACCCCACTTAGCATGCCACCCTGGGTATGAAGTTGAAAAAAAAAGGAAAAAAAGACGCAATCCTCTCAAACATACCCCAAGCAGCAACTTTCTGGAGCTAAAGAGAATTGAGCGATGACGTCGGAACTGGCCTCTGCCGGGCCACGATAGAATTTTTTTTTCTTTCTTTTTTTTAATATATACACCAGAAATGAAAATCAATTGGAAAAAAAATTCAAAAAAACAATTGGATGGTGGTTGTCTGAAGAGGAAGTCCCCCAACACCAGGGCCGGGAAGCGGCTATGACATGGGAGAAACCAGAAACACCCAGAAGATAACTGGGCATCTTAATGACGAAAGATGGCTTCACCCCCCAAATGGCCCAAAACATGCTCGCTAATCAAATCAACAAAATGGGTAGGTGGTGGAATACTTTTATGTCCTTGTCGGGCCAATGGGCCGGGCACTGACTATCAATACATTAGTTTTCTCAACGATGTGGTACATAGCTTTCTGGACGGTGCCGGATCACACAATCAAGGACCTCAACTGCAAAGCAAGAGCGTACTTGTGGTCGGACGACCCCAACAAGGAGAACAGTATACCAAAGATAGCCTGGCACTAAATCACAAGGAAGTCCGGTCTCTACAACAACCAGGGCTTTAAAAAAAAAAAAAAAAAAAAAAAAAAAAAGAAGGAAACCAGCCAGAGGAGGCCTTGGCATCATTGATCCCAAATAAGAAACAAAAGTGGCGGAGTACTGTGGATAGCTGTCATCGGTCTAGTATCCCACCTCTACAACAACCTGGGTTTTTTTTATTATTATTTTATTATTATTATTATTATTATTATTATTATTATTATTATTATTATTTATTGAAAAAGAAAAAAAGAAAAAAAATAGTCCTCTGGATACCCCTGATCGGTATTAGCAGGGTCTATGACCAACACGGGTGTGAGTGCGAGCGCGAGTGGGTTGTGTGTGGTGTGTGGGAGAGTGTTGGCCATAGCCTCTGCTGCTACTCGATGAAGGGTGGGGGATGATGAGAAAGGGAGGCACAGCTACTGGCAGGTCTCGGTCTTTGTGTTAGCCAGACCCCCACTGGCGGCCCCAACCCTATACCCTAACCATTAGGGGCAAGGGGCAACATGAAATCTCCCGTTCACAGAGAGAGGAAAACTATGCTTGCAGGGGTCCCCTCTCGATAGTCTTAGGAGTAGGTAGTGGAAGGTTAAAACAAACAGAAGTTGAGAGAAGAATATAGACAGTTGTGATCACCCCCGAAAAAAAAGAAAAAAGAAAAATGGATTGTGAAACTCCTCACCAGACCGGGTCTCGCATCGAACAAACTGGCACTGGACAGTATCAGGAGCCTAGCTGGTATTCTTCTGATGAGTGACATGCTTAGGTTAGACTTCAAACCTCGTATTGGAATTCCTATAAAAGCTTCCAACAAAACTTCTGCTTCTCGAATTTTTTCCTTATAAAAGTTCTTAAAAATATTCTTGAAATATTTTCTCATCAAAGCTTCTAAGAAATTTCTTATTCTACAACTGAAAAGCTTCAAAAAACTTTTGGTTCTCGAAACATTTCCCTATAAAACCTTCTAAAAAATTTCTCGAAATATTTTCCTATAAAAGTTTCTAAGGAATTTTCTCGAAATATTTCCCTACAAAAGCCTCTAAAGAATTTTTGAAATCTTGAAATAAATTCCTATTGAAGCTCTATTAAATTTCTGACTCTGGAGATCTCAGATAATTCTAAGTTTGATCAAAGGCTGTAGACTCTTATGGGGTGGTTCTGTTGAGTCGGGGGATCTGTCCAAGAAGGGGGGCAAAGGGCACGAGATGACTCTTTGTGAGGACGGAGAG